AATGGTATAACACACAATAGCCTATCAGAAAAGTCATTGATCACTAGCGCTATGAACTTCGTTAGCCTGTAAAAATCCATAAATTAGCCGCATCAACGTTTAAGCCCCAGGGTTCAAATCGTGTGAAAAAAGTAGCGGCTTATACACCGGAAATTACGGTATTATTACATTGTTCGGGAAGTCTCTATCAAACAAATAGCTCTTCGTATTACTAAGTACCCTTCAAGTACCTCTCAGTTTTATAAAGATCGTTGACCCCTGTTCTTGTCCATTGCTTACCGTCTCTGAATATGCATCAAAAAAACAACCATAGCACGACTGATCCAATACCTTAGCCCAAATGTTCAACTTAAGTTTGTGCAGCACGTTGTAAACAGGGACATTGTCGCCTCAGCAACGGCAGACCACGGCAAGATGGAGGAGAAAATAAGGTATCGGTATCGGCAAATACTTCAAGATGCACTATCGGCATCGGACATTAAAGGTTATATCAAGCCATCTTGAGTAAATGTATTAGACCTTTGAGGGACATGTGACTAACATGTAGACGTGAAAGTCTAAGGGCGTATAGAGTAGAGTGACTTTTGGTAACTCTGCACCAGTGCTGACTTCAGAGCTTCCTCACCCCCTTCCCTCCTCCTCCTCCTCCTCCTCCTCACACACAGACCATCGACTCTGCTCAGGGAGCCATCCATGAGAGAAAGTCAGGGTCACCCCTTGGCTCAGACCAGTAACTCCCACTGTCCTGGAAACCCACCAGGCATCTTGGAGACAAACACTGATCGGCCGAGCTGGACCACAATCAGTTCCCACTACACTCCCACAGTCTCCACCCAGGCCTGGGAAAATACTCAAGAGAGAACCTTTTACCAATGGGCAAACAGAAGAGGCTGTTCGAGTGTCTTCAGTGTGAAACGCTCCCACTGCTCCCAGCTGGGAGCTTCTGACTCATTCTCTGGTTTAACGGCCTTGTCTGTTCTTTCTCAGTGGGAGACAAGAGGAACGTTATTGCTCATTTTCTAGTTAAATTCCTATTAGTTGACTTGGAATGGTTCCAAGTGATACCGCTAACAAAAGCACAGACTTCTTGGTGGGCGGTTGCGGTTGACGGGTCACAAGGTGACGGGGTTTCGGAGCAGGAGGTACGAACAGATTCTAGTCCAGTGTTTTCCAACGTTTTTAAAGCCACTCCAGATATTTGACATCAGAAAAATTCCATGGCACACCAACAAACAACAAAATGTCACAAAAAGTACTAGTTGTGAAATATATTGATCTTCTAGCTTCAATTAACTTCAGTTTGAAATCACGGCATGTTTAGTCGAACACAATGCTGATGTACTCACAGGAATTAAAGAAAGACAATAGATCTTCAACAGCTCTCAGTCTCTTTTTGTGGGAGAGTATTTCATTGTACTGCCTGTCACTGCTGACAAAAACAACTACAGTGGAACCTCGAGATACGAGCATAATCCGTTCTAGGACTCAGCTTGTAACCCGATGTGCTCGTATGTCGAATCCAATAAGAAATACCAGGAAAAAAAAATCAGTTTCTGTGATATAAAATAAAATATGGTTTTAATTATGAGTTCTTACCTTCGAGACAGATGAAACAGTAGCGGCTAATGGCGGCTTGTATGGAAGAGGAGGAGGAGGGAGGGAAGAGAGTTGGCCCGTACGTAGACACTTGATTCCGTAACGTACCTTACACGTACACTACGTAACTTACATAAACTTAACTTCACTTGAGTTACGCATTTTCTTTAACCTTTTTATTTATTTTTATTTTTTGCTTTGTATTCTTTCCTTAGCAGGCACCACGCTGAAGAAAAATAAACAAATAAAAACAACTAAGCAACAAATGTCAAATCAGCTTTTGTATAGTACAAAATTATATATATACATATATTAACTCAAACGATGCAGAGTATATTTAAGATAATATTTAAATGAAGTTCTAAAACAAAATTGACATACACCAGGAACTACAAACAAGAACTACGGAACCTGGCATGGAGTACTACTGCATGGAGTACTACTGCATGGAGTACTACTACCCAGACCACACCACATGGTCAAAGAACAATGATCCCACCAAGACAGCATGACAGAGAGGTATATATACCCAGGTCACCAGGTGACACCAGTGAGACTAATGAACAGAGATACAGATGAGTGTGATCACATTGATTAACTCCCCCTACAGGACGAAAGGGAGACTGACAGATCTAACACAGTGCCTGCATGGTCCTTGAAGGCAACTTCCATGGTAGAACTTCAGTACTTGGCCGCGAAACTCCAACACAAACAAATATTTTAATCAGTTCTAATGTTGTTTAACATTAATATCCTCCCTGGAAAAATATCCAGTTATAAGAAAACCTGGATAAAAAGTATATCTTTATGCTTTTACAAATTGAACATGATCCAAATCCTGTACACTCTTCACTCCCCCGTGCTCAGGCTTGTTCGTTAAATAAAGGCGCAGCTCTGTCGTGGATGAATAGTTCACATTCTGTGGGAACCGACTCTAACATTGAGCAAGTGAGTTCCAAGGAAAACCCACCCTCTTCATCTCTTACGTTATACGCTGAATCATTCACAATGTTCAAATCAAGTTCACGGCACTTGTGCCTCTACAACCGTTAAAAACAAAGCTTTTCTTTGCTCTATACTTCATAGGAGACCATGCAATTTGTCACTTAAAAGGAAAGGAAATAATAAAAAAAAGAAGAAATAACAAACAACATGACAACCCAAAACACTGAAACAAACTTAGAAAGTTAGACACACAAAGACCAAAAATAAGACAGAAAAAGTCTACACATTGTTGAACACAAATTAAAACGTAGCCAAACATATAACAACCGCGAAAGGTTATCAAAACATCACAGATAATTCACTGAAGGACAACCAAAGGTTAGCCATACATGGCCTAAGTGAATAAATATACACTTAATCTAATCATGTAATTTCGGTTGTATAAAAATTAAGTTAATTGGAGCCCAAAATCCATAAAATCACAACTATTGGAATGTTGTGAGAGCTCATTGCCTTGTGTAAATACATGATCAAATCACTCAGGTATGACGGAGTAGGGCCAGGCAGGGCACGACAAAAAAAGTTTAATCTCCATTCTACAAATATTTCAATTCAGAGTTAGACTTAAAACTTAGCTAACCTGAGGTTACAGGCGTAGACGGCTGGGGGAACCCCCACGGTGCAGTGCTCATTCTCTCACCATCACTCTTCCAAGAAACACATACACATTAATTAGTGTCATGACCTTGTCTGCTCGTTCTCCACTAGTTTGTCTCCTTGACTCCTTGTCACTGTCCCTCACCTTACAGGTTCTTTCTACTGTAACTGTACTGTGTACACTTCGGCAGCGTGTCTGACTGTCTTTGCTGAGGCAGATGTCAGCACTACGTCTGGAGATTGTCACTGTTAAAAGGGAGTTTTTTTTTTCTCCCAACTGTTGCCAAAATGAAAACTGACATGTGAACACATTTGGTTTTCAATAACAGTTGTGAAACGTATTCTGCTTTACTTTAACATTAGTTAAAGTAAACTTTAGTATAATATTGGACCTTTAGCTACATTGATCATTTGCTGTTTTCTGTGCTAACAGTCCTCGGGACAACCCGTGTATGTTCCCGACTAAAGGGCACTGCTTTCACAACCATTTGGTTACGTTCTATGTGCTACACATAAATCCTATACACCTTTTCACCCACGCTGTTAGAAAAAAATACATAGGAGTGGTTGATAGTAAGTGGTGTGGCTTGTGGGTCAACCAAGTTCCTGACAAGTATTACCCAACGTCCTCTGTTTCTGTAACAGCTGGACTTTCCTAATAACAAGAACAACTTACAGGAAAAGGTCAGAGATGAGCCAATCGTCTGTGGTCTGTGAATCGACTTTAGACACAGAGCAGAGCCAACAGCTAACATCTCACCCTGCTGTTCCACACTGTAGTGAAACCAGCAGTGAATAAATGACTGTGAGTCTTTTTTTTTCTGAAGCTTTAACACATTAGTGTTTGTGTTGTGGCACTGGTGCATGTGTTTGGACCTGTACCAAACTAGTTACAACTCCCAACCTGTTCTAAACCAAAACAAAAGAAGCATTTTGGCAACGTTTCGGCCGAAAAAAACTAACAAAAACAAACAAACAGTAAGAGGCTGGTGTCAGATGTGGTGACGCTTCTCAGAATGAAAGAGGAAGTGACTGTTGGTGTTTTTCACAGAAACACTACCTGTGGTGGCAATGAAGCGACACATCTTCACAGAAACTATACCCAGTGCAAGTAACTGCAAAAAAAAAAAAAGTTTGTATGCAAAGATCTATGTCTATACACTATTTTTTTTTATTTTGTTGCCATAATTACTTCATTTCAGTTTTTTTGGTTGTATGTTTGTTTTTTTATAAACTATAAGCAAATGTTATTATCAGTAGGTATTTACGAAATAGGTAACTTATGTTGTGTTGTGATCACTTTGGCTAACAAATTCAAATACTTCAAATTCAAATGCAGCAGTGGCAGCTGTCATAGATAACACGTTTTTTTTTTACATTCTTTTTTAGGTATCGGTATGTCATGGGTTTATAGTTTCATTCTTAGTTTTGTTTCATTTTGCTATGGTAACTTTTAGCTGTTTTATTTTCTGACCAGGTTTTAGGCTTACTTAAACATTAGATAATCACGGCGCCAAATATTATAACAAGACAGCTGTCCCTAACCTAACTTTTTTGTACCAAGGACCAGTCAGCTGGATGGATTCTTTCTGAATGAAGTAACTAAGTAAAACTAAATAACATTTTTTCCAGTGTCCCACTGCAGCCTGGTACCAAATGACCTACAGACCAGCAGCGGACCCCGGACCAGGGGTTGGGAAAACTCTGATGTAAGGTTTTAAGTATTCTTTTAGCCAGTTATGAGCAGACTTTTTTTTTTTATTTCCAACTTTTGACACAAGAACATGACAAAAACTCCAAAAATCTGTTAAAAAATATTTATTGAAATTGTATAAAAATATTTCCTAACAATCTACAATTTAATTCAAATGGACGATAAAAAGACAAAACAAAAACACAACACAGACACAATCTGAGTTGGCATCAAGCAACCAACAATTTCCTCATTCTTACACGCACACACGGTGAATCCTCTCAGTCAACAGCAGACAACAGTGTAACAAACCAGTTACCATCAGTAGATGCTCATCAATTACATATATTAAGATGGAAGTGGCTTCAGGACTACACAATTACATTAACAGACAGACCTACTCTTTTTAATCCATCATTTCAATCCATAATAAATATGGTCAGAGAAAATTATTCTTTAAATAATCTGTGCCTTTAAGCAACTGCGGAATGAAAAAATACTAAATACAAATATCCAGGGGGGAAAAAAATAATCTCATAAATAAATAAATAGTTTCTGTGACCATAAACATAGCCCATTAGGTGTGTAAGAGAAGTAGACAGAGTGGTTACATTAAAAATAATAAACTCTTATTTCCCACCTTCACTTTCTTAAATTAACACCTGTTGTTGCGAGGCAAAAAAGAAAAAAAAAATAAATAAAAAAAATAAGAGGTGAACGACGGAGAGAATGTCACGTGTAGGTGTTGTTGCTGTGTGTTTTCAAATTTGCGTTGTGGTGTACGTCAATCATATGTGGGTGTTAGTGAGGTTAGTCTACGCCTGGTGTTTGTAAACAGTACAGACACGTGACAAAGAAGATGAGGAAGCAGAAGGGCGGAGGTTGTGCTATTGGTGTAGTAAAGAGATCATAGAGTGTGAGGTAAGTCCAGTGTTTTTCCTCGTTATGACAGGTTGTAGTCCCGGTCATGAGGTCGTGAAGTTGCTAAAAAGAAGAAGTAGTGACTCTTTGCGGCTGGCACCTTTTTGTCTAATGGTCTTCTGGGAAACATTGCCCAGAACTGTTTAGGTTTATTATTTTTTTTAAATCAATATCATGGCATCAATGCTTCCTTTTTCTGATGAACACTGACGCAAATGATGGTTAATGATCGTAATTTAACTTAAAACCAAATTCATTTTTAACTTAGGTTGAAAAGTGACAGCCCCGCTGAGTGAGAGTGACAGACTTTACAGATCTGTGCCCAATAGAGGGAAAAAAACCCCAGCAGAAAATGGTAAAGCCTTTTGCAGAATACGGAGCATAAAAGGCTTTAGTGTAAAGAAACCTGTTTATGCTTTCACAATTTCAAGTATTTTCGTGGTCTTGTCCCCCAACAGTCTCACAGAAGGCACTTTTAAAGTAAAAAAACAAGCCCTCTCTTCGCGAACATCCTTATTAGGCAAATGTCCCGATCTCTATCTGAGGCAGCTTTCCACACACACAGAGAGCAAATCTGAATGGTAAAGTTTTGCAATCTGGAACCCAAGAAAAGCTGATCAGGACATTCCTACCTCTGTACTAGACAGACAAGGCAGCAGAGTACACCGCCGCAGGTAGTTACATAACCTTGCCATTCAACGGTGCAAGGTTCAGGGCAGTGCTGGGCTCTAAACTTGCTCGTGCATGCCTGTCAATGGAGGAGGATGTTCCAACTCTGGCTGGTGTGAGTCTACAGATATCACAGTCAATCAGTAGGCAGTCGGGGGACGGGGCAGCAAGCGAATGGGCCCTGCAGATACCGTCCTGATCTCTGCCACGTCCTGTGGCCCCGGAACAGCAGGCGCTGTGTGCTCCGCTTCAAGTCTCTCTCAAGAGTCTTTCTGCAGTTCTCTTAGTGCGGTTCAGTTTGACCTCGATCAAACTGCTGGCCTTCAGCTTCATCGAGCCACTGCTACGGGTGTGGGTGTAAAGGCTGTGGACTCATGGCTGATGCTGTGGAGTCTTATCTCGGTGCCGCTCTTCTCCTGCTGTGCCGTCGACGGAAGCGCAGAGGAGAGCGTGTGCTGCATCCAAGAGTGGTTGATTATGTCCTCAAAGGACGGCCGATCAGCCGGCCTCAGGGACAGACACCACTTAATGAGCTGCTGACACTCTGCAGAAGACAAAACCAGATTCAGTTAAAAATAATAAAAAAAAAAACCAACCTCTTTTTATTGTCTGTTGAAGTTTAAATGTCTGTTTACCTGTAGAGATTCTTCTGCGAAACAGAACCTGTCCTCTGACAATCTCCTCATCGTGTTCAAACGGGATGTCCCCACACACCATGTCGTACAGCAGGACACCGAGAGACCACACAGTAGCTGAGCGACCGTGATAACGATGGTACCTGATCCATTCCGGTGGGCTGTACACTCTGGTGCCTGTTTAAAAACATTTGAGATTGAAATATGTTACTAAAAATTATCTTGCTGTTTTGCTACCCTTACTCTCATTTGAAACATTTAATATTTTATGAAGTTATTTTCCTTCAAACTTACATAGCTATGTTATGTGTGTATTTATTACTTTACTGTAGTAAGAGCCATAATGTCAGTAAAGCAACATTAACAGCAATGTCTCTAAGGTAATTATCAAGTCTCAGGTGCAAAGGAGCGTGACAGCAGGGTGTGTATGTGTGTGTGAGAGAGCGAGAGAGATAATGTGTGCGTGCGTGGGAGGGGTAAGGCAAACATGTGACTTTGTTTACAAACTTTGAGTTGTAAAAATTTCATTATCAACCAGCGAGGGGCGCCAAAGCGAAGCTAATGCCCCTCAGTGTCTATGACTAGGTGGCCCTGTGACGCATGTAAGAGTTTATGTCGCAGCAGAGACTCACCGTCAAAGTCAGTGTAGATGGTGTCCTTCAGGAGGGCACCTGAACCGAAATCGATGAGCTTCATTTCTCCAGTGCGGAGGTCAATGAGGATATTCTCGTCCTTGATATCTCTGTGCACCACTCCGCAGCTGTGGCAGTGTCTAACAGCTTCCAGAACCTGGCGGAAGAAGCTCTGGGCCAGTTCTTCGGGCAGGGCTCCTCGTTCTGTGATGAAGTCAAATAGGTCCTTGACGTGTTCAGGACGCTCCATCACAATGATGAAACTGTCTGGTCGTTCGAACCAATCCAGCATCTTGATAACACCACGGAAGCCAGTGCTGACCTTTTTCAGGAGGAGGATTTCCATGGGGACTCTTGACCCATTAGGCTGCATGCATGAAGGTCAAATATTAGTTGTTGTAACTTAAGCATCATCAAGATCATTGAACCTCGTGACTGTGAACTACTTAATATAAAACTGTCTAGAGATTTTTAATCTAATGATATTTCCTTTAACTACAACCATAAAAATGCACATTAATCATATCTTACCAGCTCTCCCCACTCAGAGACTCTGTCCTTGGCCACATGTTTAACGGCAACCTAAAGCAAACGAGGCAGAAAGTCAAACTACAACACTACAGAGCAGTGAAATGTGTGGAAAAAAGGAAAGAATTAGTTAAAAATACTAACCGGAGCTCCATCAGATATCCTTGTACCAGAGTAGACAGTGCCAAATCCACCGCTTCCCAACACCGCCCCGACCTGATACAGTTTCTCAAATGGCTCCTTTTCCTTAACTGTAAATAAACAACGTAAAAAATTGTAAATAAAAAACAAATCAGCAAAAGATAATTGCCCTGCAAACGCAAAGGGACATTCTATATATAGCAGCACAACATAGATAGCGCCTTGTGATAATTCAGTTTGTATAGTATATATTCGCGTAAAATGCGATTAAACCATAAAAAAGCATTTCTTTGATTTGTTTTGTATGTTTTTAGAATAAAATTATTTATATTGGTGACACCAATAGACCACTGCCAGCCAATCATAACGACTCCGATACTGCGTAGCAGTGTTTACATTTGAAATGTCTGTATTACTAGTGATAAACGGAGCTTTTCTATTATTGTTGTTGTTTTAACCATATTTGTAATGGTCCTACTGTTGATTTCGATTAAAAGACAGTAATTTCTTGAATATTTACTAAGGTTCTATTTTTTTAATAAACGTAATTCCACTGACCCTATAAACTAAACGTATAATTACATTAACTGTATCATCTAAGGTCCTGATTATAGCAACTAGAAACATATAATTGTATGTTTGGCTTTTTAAAATAGTCGTCAGAGTAATAATAGAGCAGGAGTTTCCCCTGTAATAGTGGAACAGCTGCGGCCATTTCTGCCATGCCTGTCCTCCATGATGACACCAGCACAATAACAGAGCACGATAAGGAGAAGAAGAGCGGCTGACCTGGATGAACCTGGAGCTGGATCTTCACCGGCATGTCCGACATGTGGGCCAGAGAATTCAGCTTGGAAAGCAACATCCCTCTCCAAAATACAAGTGTAGTTTTCCGATAAGTTTAGAAGAAACAGTTGAGTGCCGTTAATTCAGCTGAGCTTAATTCCACGATGCGTGTACAAAAACGCGGTAGGAATCCTTTCACCAGCGCCGGAAGGGGCTGAATGGGAAAAACCTTCTTGCTATCCAAAAATAAGTCCAATGTAGCCGAATATTTAGCGCGAAGGTTATACAAATTATACCTAACAAAATAATATTAAAATACGCAGTTAACGAAGACCGTTGTGTCGGTACCGCGACGTCCTCTTACACCGGCTCAGTGGGAAACACAAGGCGGGAGGAGGGGGTGGAGGCACATTTTGTAGGTAGTAGAAGGCGGGACCAAGCGGCTCTGGGTTACCGCCCATTTCCGCTCGCTTAGCCAATAAAGACACGACTGTTCAAAATTACACGTCAATAGTTGAATTAAAAAAAAACAACAACCTCCCTCACGTTCACGCACACAGACTCACACAATAATAGACGACTCCCCCCCCCCCTGCCTCGTGACTGAGCCAGACGTGGCGGGAATTGAAAAAAAAACGCGCCAAGACAGAAGGGGGGGACCGCAAAAAAGTTTTTTGGAAATACAAGTTCAAAGCTTAGTCGTTCAGTGTTTCTCTCTGTGTCTGTGTCCCTGTGTCTTATAACTGCTTCACTGGAAAGTGACTCATGGAATAAACTTGCTGAACTTTCCGCCCAACCTGACTTAAGAACTACATTAAATTTTGCTAAACCTTATCTATTAAAATACATACATGGGTTTCATATGTTTTTATACATTTTACTATGTGGTAAATTTGTGAAAGAGTCAAATGTTTAATTATATTGTTCTTTTAGATATTCTTTGTTAACTAGTAAAACTCAGACAGTTTTAAAGTTTTATCCTGTCCAAAACCACATCTAATTTCTAGTATGGGTCAATTGAATTTTGCTCATTTGAATTTGCACTAATATTTAAAGGCACGTGATAATTGCTAGGACAATTCCTGCTTACTTTCATTATCTCTGTTATTGTCTTCTACTCTCTCCAGTATTTTCGTATTAGTAGGCCTATAAAGACTTTTGTTTGTTTATTTATGTGTTTGTTCCAGCAGGAGAGGGCAATTCGAGAGCACCAGCATGGCATCATCACTTTCATTTTCATCATCAACCTCTCAATTATTGTAACTTCTCCTCACCTCTGCTGTTCACCTAATCATTTCCACATTAAACACACAGTGGAGAGTAGCCTTATTAGCGTCTCTGTCTGAGACAAAAGGACCCTCACCCACTCTTTACTTCTTCTCTTCCCCCCCACCACGCTCTCTCTCTATTACTCTCTGTGTCTCTCTCTCAGGGCGAAAGGCCGCATTCCATTCATTCTTTCAAATTGGGTGGCCGCTCCGCAGCTCCGCACGTTCTGCAGCCCTTCACAGGATGTGGGAAAATGCAGATAAAAGGACTTCATTTACTCTCCTCCTCCTACTACTTTTCTTTTTCTCCACCCTCTTTTTCCCGCGCTCCTCATGGTTTAAAGGACTTTGTGTCCCTTCCTGAAGTTCAGTTTTGTTTTCCCTTGAAATGTCAAAGGTTGTAAAACACACGTTTCAAGGCCATTTGGCCCGAGCCGCTGCTAATATTTAATCCTTATATAGACTTCATATTATTTAATACATACATTTGTACATAATACATACTGGGCAGCAAACAGCCATTCTTAGATTATGATAAAGTATTAAAATATTAACATAGTATATTTAAATATATAACACAACATGAATTAATGTACGTTATCTGTCGGTATGGAAGTCAAATTTACAGCAAGGACAATCAGATAGTAAATGAATAAAATATTGGAGTGCATCCATTATTAACATAATGCAGTGGGGTGCAGCTTGCACCTGATCGGGCTTGTGGTCTTTCAAATTCCTATTTATTTGTTTACTATTCATTTATTTATTCCCAAGATTGGTGGATCTGCATTTTTGTGCTCCACTGTTATTTTATTTTTATTCAGTTTAATGATCTATAAGTATATTAATACATTTTATTTATATCACACCTTTTACAGACACAAAGTGCTTTGCAAAAATAGTACAGGTAAAATATATAAAACATGGCTTGAGGACAAATTGAAACATGAGACAATCCATTCCTGATCAACTTAATTAAATGTATGTATGTAAAAAAAACATAGCATAAAAACAATGCATTCCACAGTCTGGGTGTTAATGCTTGAGAGGTGCAATCACTTTGCTTGAAGAGCTGCGGCAAACGTTCCTTGTCTTTTGTAGCATTAGATTTCTCTCTGTTTTTGATTTCTTATTCTGTGGCTTATTTCATTTAAAAACTCAAATATTCTTCCAAAAGATAAACATGATCAGTTTTGCAAAAGAGAGTTCCGCAAACCCCGCAGCACAGGCTTTAACATCATTTGTTGGAATGAAAGCAGAGACAGAAAGAGATCAGATGAACGAGGAGTGTTCGGCCCCAGGGCAAATTCCTATAATACCACTGGCGTGTTTGAAGATGGTATGCAAATCAAGTCTCGACCGAACCGCACAATAAATGTTTATGGTCTGGAGTTAACATATAAAGAAGATAAGAGCGCTGTAAACACAAACGTCAACTGTTTATGTTTTCGTTTAGTTTTTCAATTTTAGGTGATGCTATAAAAACATATCACCATAATAGCTGAAAAAGTGTTTCGATGTATTTCTTTGCCTACCGTATGTTTCCAAACTGGTAGAATGAATCAAATACAGAAACAGGATGGACAGCGATGGACATCTTAATGGAAAAACTGACACTGTTTTTTTGGTCCCATCTGCTCAAAGGATGTTATTTTCCACAGCTTTTTGTCACTCAAAACTATATTTACAATATTTAATATTTTTATTGTGAAACCTGGAACTGAGTCAAAAACGTGTACTTCAGATTGATGTGCACAACAGGGAATGTTTGAAACAAACCAGCCAATACAGTGACCGGTCCGTGCTGCATCAGGACCATTGGAGAAGTGCAAGAATCTAAGGAGAGTCACAGAGTGACGGTGACCATTGCACTTTGATATGACACCAGTGAGCACATCTCGGTGGAGCTCCAAACATATCTCTATTTTGCATGGTCAGCTTGCTTTAAATGACACACTGCTCCCCTCCTGCTGCCGCTGCCACACACGTATGCGCACACACACACACCATCTGGGGGAGGGACGGATAATTATTCGCACCATTCACTTTAGGGTCAGCTGCTCTGTCCAGTCACAGCAAGTCTCACCTGCTTCTGCCCTGGAGAGGTGACTAGGAGCAGGGTGACTAGAGGGTGGCGCGGTAGAGGGTTTGCTCAAATGTTCACAAGGGTACACTGGGATTCTTGAGGACGCTAGCCACCAAAACGTCCATGAGGTTATGTGAGGAGATCAACATTTTACGAGCCATCATTCAAAGTATTCAATGACATACCAATAGGTAAAAAGCCTTGGCGAGATTCTACAAGACTACCGGAGTGAAATGTGAGCTCCAAGTTATTTTGCTCAGCTTGCTTTTGGTCCACCTGCTTAGCCAAGTCTCTACGAGTCTCACTTTCTTGACCATCAGTGGGCTGTTAGGACTAGGACATAATTTGTGCATCTGTATGTCTGAAACGTAGCATTAACTGCGTATTGCTTTTTTTTATTTTTTGGGCCTACACTGCTTTACTTAATGGAACTCGGGGTGAAAGTGTCGGGTTTCCTACTCCCATATTCGAGGGGCATCAACGACCTAGCCTAGTCGTCCATTTGCTAATCTTTATGTAAACTAAGGGTTAGGGCGTGTCCTTAGCTCATACAGCCACACTTCACAAAACCCAATCTACTACTTCAGTGAAGGTGTGGAAGAATCCACAGGACAGTTGAGCTCTGCAGGGATTCTCTTGCATGAAGCCACAGTGAGAAGAAAACGTCTCAGCGTGTTACACATGGAAAAATGGAAAGGTCAGGAGGTTTAGGGGAAGCTCGAGTTTGCAACATCTCTTGAAGTCCAGCGTTGCACAAAAAGGAAACCAAATGGAACATGTACTGCTGCGAGTGCTCCATGTGTTCTGTCACAGTCTGTTCTATAATCCTCCCAGCTTACCTGAAATGAAATGTTGAGATGTTCAGTTCTGAAACTCAACCGCTAAATAAGCAACATTGTGTCCCTCAGTACATGGAAATACGTATGTCATCGGCGGAAAAGTTTATGTTACTGAAGATTTCATTTCATTTTTCAAATCCTGATACATGCCATTTTAAATCACCTAAACAAAGATTATTGTAATTTTATTCTAATACAATGTACACTACAGTAAGATATCTTAACAATAATTTTATTCTAATACAATGTACACTAGAGTAAGATATCTCCATTCTTATCACTAAGTCTCCCTGTTAGACAAAATTGTGTAACGGCAAAGCAAACGTTCGGTCGGCACTCTTAATCACTTGTTGTGATATAATATCTACTTGAAATTGTTAGCATTTTACGAACAAGACAGCCAGTACGCCATCAGCATTTGTAACCTTTGGTTTTCTAAAATGTTTCTCGGTGTGCGTTGGGGTGTGAGCTTGAACACTTCGCAAACTTTACATTCCAGGTTTTCTACCTCTGGTTGACAGTCCCCTTTTGCAACAGGTGGTTTCACAAACATTACATTGTATGTGATTTTGGCAGAACTATGTCCTGTTAATTGTGCAGCACCTTTTATTCACACAGTCAGAGCTTCTGTGTGCGTAAAAAAGAGAAAAAAGAGGGACATTTGTTGTTGTGAAACCCCCACTGGGCAGGTTTCTATTTAACTGGAAACAGGAAGTTTCTTAAAAAAAGTCATTATGTAAGTTTATTCCTCTGCCACAATGACATTTTTTCCCCGTGGCCTCTAAAGTTTCGGTGTGCAATACGAGGTCTGACAAGAGTACACAAAACAATGAGTAGTGTGTGTGTTTGTTATGGTTATGGCTATAGTGACACTTTACAGTAGGCTTCATTATTAAATCCCTTTTCTTCAACTGGAATATCTCTAACTGCTATACAGTATAAAACTAACTTGCCTTTGCTTCAGAATAACACTGAAACTCCTTTACTTCTTTCAAATAATAAATAAATAAATAAATGAAATGAAATAATAAAACCTGAAAGTGAATTAAAACGAACGATTTAAAGATGAATTTTCCAATTATCAGATCACATTTTTATGAAGGCACTGCAGATAAACCATACGTCCATCAGGACCCGTCTGCACTTAACGCCATCTTATGGCAGTAACACGGCGGTGATGAGCTTCGGTATGACGGTGAAAAT